GGGGGGGGGGGGGGGGGGGGTTCACGCGAAGGATCGAGGGACGCGGCCGGGTACGGAGACGAAGGGCCTTTTGAGGGTCCAGAGTAGGGCCAGGTGGGTACTGGCCGCCCTAAATGCTGTGCTATATCATTACGTCTGCCACACGTGCGTGTTTTTGGAGTGCTTGTTTTTGTGCCGGGCGGGTGGTCGGCTCGAGGGGGACGTTGGAAGGCCCTGCTGGATCCGTGCACGCAGACTTTTTTTTTTACCCGGTGCCTATTTCTTTTTTCGAAAGCGCCTACACTGGACCATCTTTTTGGCGGGCAGCCAGGCGATGAGGGACGCCGTTGAAGGGGGGAGGGGACGCAGGCGCCAAGAGAACGGTTTCGTGGTGTGGAGGTGGGGTTGTTGGTTGGTTGAGGGAGGGGAAGGAAAAAAGGTGGCGGGGGTAAGAATCTTGTTTTTTTTCCTGAAAGGCTTTTTTCTGTGGCGCGGGTCATGCGGTAGTGATCCTAACAGACGGCGGCACGCACACACGCCAAAACACGACAGGCGAAAACACGCACACCGACGTCCCGTCCTACAAGTATACACGACGGGGTGATTGGGATTGGTGGGCATGGGACATTGGTGTGTTACGCCTGAGGCACTCTGACTGCGGGCGAGGCGGCGAAAAACAGAGATATGTTGCGGAAGTTTGTTGCTCGAGTGGGCGAGAGCGCGCTGCGTAGTTTGCAGTATAGCCTCGGCGCTATTCGAAGAAGGGTGGGTGAACGGGCAACGGGAGTCGTCGCCAACGAGCTCGGACACTTGAACCAACCCGGGGAGGGGGGACTCTGCACTTGCCAGCCAGACGATTGGGAGGGGGGGAAGGGGGGATACATCGTTGCCTAGAGATGTTGCGTGCCTGATGGGTGTCGTGGGGAACCGGCGCGGCTTCCCGTTCTTGTCTCTTGAGGCTGATAGGTTGGTCGTGAAACTGAATTGGGCGTGCGTCACAGCAATTGCTACAGAAGCAGCAGCGTCGAGAGAGATAAACACGCCGATACAGAGGGAGAGGGCGAGCACTCGTCCTCTTTCTTACGTACATCAGTATAATGTGTTTCGATGTCTGGGAGGAAGCGGGAGATAGCTAGGGTTGCGATGCCGCCTCGCAGTTGCTCCTGGCCGGCTCGTGCTTGGCATCGCGAAAGCTGGCAGAGGGAAGGGCCGATAAACGGAGAGATAACGAGAGACAAGAACACAGGAAAGCTAGAAGTGAGATGGGGTATGAGTTGTTGTGCCGCGAGTTCCTCGGGGATGATGCGCCGGAAATTTGTCGTCTAGCCGCCGTTGTATTTTTTTTTTTTGCTTCTTGCCGCCGTTCGACTTTGACTGAGGTCTCGACGTAGGACCGATCGGCCTGCTGTAAGGGTACTAGATATATGTCGCCCCCCTGGAGGTCGATAGGACTGCTTTCGACATTACAGTGAACGCTACGGCAGTGGTGCAAGAGTGGGTGTATGATATACCCCGGGCGGGCAACCGGTGCATCGGCGGCAGACATTTGGGGTTCTTTGGACTTGATCCACCTGTAAAACTAGGCTGGCCGCCACACCTGAAGTAGTACTGTACTGGTTTTGGGTGAGTTTTGCGTACATATGATATGCGCATGTTGCACATATATGCGGCTTCGCGCGTGGGTGTTTCTCGTTTCATTTTTTTGCCCCCAAAGCCCTGCGGTCGGTAAACCTGGGCTGTGTCGTTTGTATGTGTGGATGTCTGTATGCATGTGCGTCCTGTTTACGCTCGTAACGGTGTGTTGGCTCTCTCTTTTTTTTATTTTTCTTAATATGACACAACGAGTCCATCTCTATCATAGAAAAGAGTCAGAGACAGATTTTTTGTTTTTCCGCTTTTCATTGCGGTGGCCTGTGGGCTGTTCTTTGGGGGGTTGTTTCAGATATAAGGAAATGGAAGGCTATCGAGGTTCGTATACGTAGCAAACGGCTTCCAAGCGAGTCAAGTCTTCCGGACAGGACTCGCGTGTGGTAACGCATGCAAGAGCTACGCCTGCTGCGTTGTGGGCTGCTTGTTGTTTGGCCCGTTTTGTTGTGTGTTTTTTGTGCGCAGGTCACAGGGCGAAGATCTCTCTGGCTGGCGGGGTGTCTACTTTTAGACGGTCGGCGATTTAGTACTTTACTCCATTTATTTTCATTGTCTGGAACGAGACTCGGTATGTGGAAACGGGGCGCGCACACCATAGACAGACGCATGCATTATCGATGCGCTCGTTACACGGGCGCAGGGTTTTGCAGCCTTGCGAGCGGCGCGCCCTAGCTGCTTCTCGTAACAAATTTGCGTGCGTCGATTGAGGCGCACGTCAACAAGTTGGCTCCACCGCGACGGCACAACGTATTAATCGGGGCTGCTTCGAAAACTATCACCCCGATCGGTCTATCTATCTGTGGGTGTGTGGCTTTGTGCGGTTTGGGGGGAGTTCTTGCTACAAGCGAGATAAGCCCCTGACATGCGACAACGCATGACAATCAAAGACCGTTTCCAGCCGAGCATACCACCCACGATATCCGACCCCTTTTGCATGAAAAAGTGTGGTTGACGCACCACCACACAGACGGGCTGCGTTCATTCGCCTTCCAATATATAATACGCTCTCCAGACCTAGAAGTGACGATCTGTTTTGGTTTCACCTCCTCCATTATCTTTCTCCCACCCCACCAAATGCACAAAAAAAACGAGCTACAGATCCAGCCTGGCGCAATTTTGAAGTGAATCACATGTATGTGATGTGAACCTGGTCGGGATGATACTCTTTTTTTTTCTTTTTCTTAGTATCACAGAGCAAATCCATCTCCATCTATCTATAGAAATAAGTCTAAGATAGATTAGCAATGAATCCATAGCGTGATCGAAAGGCTCTACCTGTATGTCTACGGTTTCCCAGACAGCATACAGCGATATCTCCCCTGTGGGTAACAGGCTCAACAAGGCAGTTTGGTAGCCATCTTGTGCATCTATCTGTATGTCTTCTGTTGGGAAGTTGTAGACGGAAGATTTAGGGGAACTCGGTTTGTCGGGTGTTCTATTATGGCACCCTTACGTGGTTGCGGAGGAAGCGCGTCTCGGGGTGTCTATATTTTCATCAACTTATGTTTTGTGTATGATGTATGGGCGCCTTCCGGTATATGCCGGAGAATTGCGTCCTAGAACGAGTTTTCGTCGGTATGAAAAATGGAGACCGGTTCTAGAAACGTTTCGGCGAGACCAACCGACGACAAAAAAAACACGAAAAAAAAAAAAATCTCCCCCACATTTTTCAAGATAAACGATGCGGCGCATCCTGTTTCACCGCAAACATCGCCGACGCAAGCCTTGTTCTCCACGGCAATCGACTCCGCTTGGTCGAATTACATACAGAGGAGACCACTCTCGAGGTCATCAGACCTAATCTCGTTCTAGGACGGCCGTCCCGACTTGGGCCTGGCCGTGGCTCGTGGCAGCCTCATGGAGGTAGACCGCACAATCGAAATCCGAGGGGAAGAGAGGGTAGTGAGACAGCAGCGGAAGAACCACATCCGCGGGATACTGCTAATCAGCCAGCTGTTGAGAAAGGGTACCACCGAGGCAGCTGGAAAACCTGTGCAATCTGTGGTTGCTGATGAAGTTGAGCTCCTCGAAAAGGGTAGAGAGCACGTTGAAGGCATCCGAGAGAGAGCATCGAAACGCGGGAAACGACAGCCTGCTGCTGCTGCTGCTGCTTCATCTGCTGCGGCGAAGAAGGCGAAGCGCAAGGGGGCGGACGCAGCTCTCTCCGACCCTCTAGCATTGGCTCATGATGGCGGGACCAGAAGCGGTGCTACCCCAGAGACTTCGAGGGAGGAAGCGGTGAGTTTTGAGTCACTTCTGAGGTGCTGCTGAAAGGTGTTCCAGAGTGCTTGATTGACTGCTTTACTTTGCGCGCCAGTTCGTGCCAGCTGCTCTGTTCTTGAATTTGAAATTTGGTACACGCGCTGCCCGTCCTCTTTGCCCCCATGGGGGCATGTGCGGCGCGGGAGAACATGTTTACCTTGTTGTGTAATGGCATCTCGTTAAATGTGAGAAGGGCACGGGAGAACATGATCTCATCATCATTGCCTCCTGACGTGGCCGCCGATAGAGGAGTGTGGTTGGGGTTTCATTTGAACACCTTCCGTGCTCTACTGATGCTGATTACCAACACCAAACAAACATACCAGGAAACCAGCTAACACGATACAAACTGAACGCTATGCCCTACCTACCATGCACCAGGTGTACCATTCTCTTCTACTGTTGTAAGCATCACTGATACGCTACCCCAAAGGGTCAAATAAGTTTTTTCGTTTAGGTTTGAAAAACGAGTGATGTACTGCTGTAGCCTCCTTTCCATCTTCCATGATTTTTACATCAATATTATTTATTTCTCCTTAAATTCCTAAAACCAGCAAGCTGTCAATAGACACTGCGCCGTGTCCCCTGTGAAGGTTACATCTTACAGTACACGACACCACGGAGGGATTCTCCCCGATATTTTGTCGTTGACCCAGTAGATAACCACGGGGGATGTAGTCTATTGTAAAATGTAGATTTACCTTTACAGATATTTTTGTACTTAGCACCAGCTGGCATCACTGATAAATCATCAGTGTATAGACTTAGACTATATAGACTCGAAATAAGTCCAGTACCCAGCCGGTTTTCCTCCACTTTTCATGGCTTTGGTTGGTTGTTCTTTTTCACTGTACGTCCGCAGACACATTCTGACAGCACTTCAGACAGCAGCATTGTCCCCCGCCAGCTTCTTGTTCCATGCCTACCATGGTGTTTTTGTACAGACAGCACTTCAGACAGCAAGTATGCTGTAGTCGGCAATCATTCGTTTTGGTACAGAGTGGGACAAGGAGGGGGTGATGTTGCTGTAGTCGAACGGTGAGACGGACGTGTAGTTCAGTTTTGGGCACGCGTACGGTGCTGCAGGGATTATATATAGGTGTAGTAGTACCTCTTCGGGCTCTTGTACACCTTTTTCTTGCTACGTGTGCGTGTTCTTTAGATCCTCAGATGGCTCTAGCACTTTCGTGACCACGGGCCGAGAGTCTTTGCTAGATTTTGGCATTTAGCAACTGGCATACGGTTTAATGTGAAGTCAACAACAACAACAACAACTGAAAAGACTCCACCATATCCCGTTCGACTGTGGGTATATCTCGAATGAGTAGACTAGTCTTTCTGTGCGTGTAGATCTATTTATTTCTCCTTAATCTTTGTTTGGTTCTTCTTGCAAGCTTCTTGTTCATGACCAGGCGGTGCGGCCAAACCCTTCTCGGTCAGGCAGAACTGCCAAGCCTTGTAATTGGAGCTGTTCCTGATTCTGTCGGCGCCGCTGCTGATGATGATGATGACAACGCGGGTACTGGGTACAAGGCGTCCAGATTGCCGAGGCGAAGGAGCAACTGCGATCGTTTTTTCTCGTGGAGGGTCTCAATCACCTGCCAGTCAGTGAGACGAGAAGGGCAGGGTTGGTCGCTGCGTATTTCTCGTTGGAACGGTTTCACTTTAGGATAACAGACACTCTTGTCTTATTGACTTCGCGAGAGACTGTGAAATGTCCGACCTATCTAGTCTACTGCGTTTGGTACGACATAAGAGGAATTGGGAAAGCGCGGTGCCGAGAGACAGGGAATATGGTGAACTAAGAGGAAGCTTATTTCGGCAGGCTCCGTGCTTCAGTTTGGTCCCGTCTACAAATGGGTGCTCTGTTTCGCTCTTTTTATTCCGTATTCCAAAATAATAGTCTAGACTACAGTAGTTGGTTTCTCCTGGATGTGCCCCGACGTGCCGTCGCGCTGCCACTTCGCCCTCAGCGCCGTTACACATCTCGAGTGACGACCCCATCCGCCCTTGGGCAGGAGGTCGAACACAATCCATCCAAGGCGTACAAAGAACGATCAACAGTGAAAAGGAACACCCGCGTTTACTTTTCATTTTGTTCCCCAATCCAGGCATAGCAGACGTTCTAGTCCGAACCGTGTGGATGAATATGGCATATATATCTAAATCCCCCCACCCCCCCGTGGATGCTCCTTGACCGAGCCGATAGAAAAGTCTCAACTCTCAAACGACTTTGCAGCAAACATGAACAAGAAACACCGACCTGTCGGTAGTTTTCCAGATCCACCACTCGGCTGAAGAGGAACACTGCCACATCCACTCGGTAGTGCACTCCTGTCGGCATATTTGTTTATCGACCGAGGTAGTAAGTACACCGTGTAATGTGTTTCAACAACGCTGATGCGAGCAACTAAAGTATTTCACTCAACACCGAAAATACGACCGTCCTTTAACCTACCGTATAACGAGCGTACTGCTGTGTACCGTATGGTCGACGGCATATCTACAACGAATGGATGCTGACCGCACAGCCGTACATTCGAAAGTACAACCGGATGATGAGTACTCGACTTCGTATAGTCTAGCCGTGTAGTCGACCGTATCGAATACGACTGTACAGGTCACCGTAAACTTCTCCGTGTGTGTACCCAACCGTCTAGTCTACCTATCTGCCCAAACAGTCACACAGGATATTGACCCGTAGTATATGGTGACGGTTTACTCGACCGTATTTCCGAGCAAGGTCGACAGAGATGGAGACCATCGCTCCCGCCCATCTGAAAGTGCATGATTGACCCGATCAAGTTCATGCATCACAAATCGCTTGCTGACGCATTACATGTAAAGTCCCAACCACCCTAAAGCTGCCAACTACAAGGGAGGGCTGGAGAAATAGAACAGCGTTATTCTACGGGGGGACGCGAGAACTGTTCCGCATCTTTCTTACCGCCGAGAACACGCGGAACGACGGCTGCAACGGTGGCCGCCTGAGCGCTAGAAAGCCAGCAACCGCCCAGCCTTACCCGTAGCTGAGCCAGGGATTGCGAGAGATTGGGTTCGGGGCTGGTAGTCACCACCTGGCGTTCCGTGCGCACCCAACCGAGCGGTTTACGACATAGTTGCGGGCAGCAACCTCCGATGGGAAGATCAAGCGCCAGTTGGCAGCATCATAAATTGTATGCGCGCCGCATGTGTCTTCTAGTTGTTGCGAAAACACAAGCAACATTGAGCGCACAACATGTACCCACGAGAGGGGTTGTGGCTTCGTACAATTCGTGATCTATGGTAACCTCTTCCTGTTCTAATTACACGTCCGTTTGATGTCTCCAGGAACTCGTTCCCAGCTATTCTCGGTGTACATGTACATTCTTCATTCTGCGTCATGGGGTAAGTCCAACTGTTAATCATTGTGATCAAGGAATGTATGCGGCCCCGCCCATCCCACATGTAAGGTCTTGTCAGACTTACTTCGGTCGTCTCCTCGAGCGGTACCCACTCGAAGGTGACTGTTCCTTGGTGATCCACGGTGGTGAACTCCGACGAAACGAAGCAATCGCTCGGCAAGAACTGCGCCGACACCTCCACAAATGTTACCTTCCAAACCCGAACCGGAAAGAACGCACGGGCATTCTCATGTCTGGACCGTGCACGAAGTGAAGACAAGAGTACCAGCGCTTTTCGGATGCCATCTTCGCGTCCACTGCCCGACAAGCTTCAACGTTGCGTTGTTCAGTTTTAGGGTAATGTCAGGCTTGTACAGGAAAGCATGTCAAAGAGCGTCCGAACTGCATCGCTTGGTGCGTGCCACCATGCTGTTATAGTTAACGGGAGTGAGTCCGAACGGGCTTCTTGATGAATGAATGGAATAAGAGAGCCAAAGTGAGACCCGTCCCCAACAGCAAGGCCAGTCATGCAATGGGTGTAATGGGATTGGTGTTCACACAGGGCTAAGGCGCCTGTTTGATTGAGTACTTACCAAGAGCGTTAGCTGCAGCGGCCCGGCCTCCGAGACCGCGGTCGAAGCTGAGAGCTCCAGCGGGACGAAAAGCTCTCGCCATCCTTTGTCCGTGGTCATGTCCAGCGTGCCAAGGGTACGCGGCGTTGCCGCGATGCTGCTGCTGCTGCCACAATTTCATATTGAAGTGTGGTTATGTCAGCATTCCCCAGGCGAAACACACACACATTAGTTGTCTTTCGTTGTTTGATTCTACGAATTTCGACGCGCTTCAAATGGCTTCGTCCGGGGGTTATTTTTTTTGTCCTGGCTCAAGGAGGAACGTTATCCAAATACCACACGTTATTCAAATAGCAAGTACACTGAAACGATGGGGGCAGATTCGTTGTTTCTCGACAAATAGTGAGGATGCAGATCAACATCGAAGCAGCCCCGAAAACCCCTATCATGTTGAGGGTTCCTGGATGGCCTTCTTGTAACATAGCAATATGAGTCGAAGGTTGCCGGAACATTAACGCGGCAGGAACGTGCTTGAACAAAGTAGTATATTCTAATGGCCATCATATGTTTAGGTACAAGGGACAAGCACACCAACAATAGAGAACGTGGAGCGAAAGGAGGTTGCACGGAAATCGGAAACGCGTGCTGCTGTGCACTCGTTTCATGGCAGGCATTGTACCTCAGACTTAGCGGACCGCATTCCAGATCACTGAGATGCCCTCGCCTCGTGTCTGCAACGGTTGGGGAGCACCAGAGCCAAAACACATACGCCAGAAGAATGTTTTGGGACAAGGGGGTGACAAATCCTAGTCTGCTTTTGCAACATGTCCCTCTCGTAGGTTCCAAAACCTTCAACATTTACATGAGTGCCGACAAAACCAGTCTCTGTATGTGTATCGTACCTAACTAGATTCGGCTCCGTGGTGAGACCGGCGAAGGTGGCCGCCAGCGCGGACGCCACTTCTCGCTTGGTGCCGATCCTCAAGCGACACCCCTGCACCCCTTGTCGAGCTACCGCAGCCCACTCGTCCTATTCTTGCAGGAATTTTTTGTTCGGTATCATCATTCTTTGTTCAGTATCATCAGCAAGGCACGGGAACAATTGAGCTTTGTAGCGATGAAGCAATTTTCATCAACCTCGATGTTCACAGCCGTTTACCACGCTCACACGACGACAATTGTGTTTGGCTTAGAGTTAACCGTAGCTCCAAGTGATGAATCATTGGTTGTATCAGGGAGGCCAGCCCACTCCCACGCCCGGCCAACCAAACGCAGCCACACTCTTTCCTACCCCACCGGGTCGTCGTATTTCAGTGAATATGTACGTTTCGTCTTAATACAAAGGAATGGAGGACGGACTGGGATGTGCGTGCGCTAGGTATTGCTCAGCACGTGGTCAGCGGGAGGAATGGGTGTCAATATCGTTCTTCCTCGGGGGTCAGAAGACGGTTTTCAGCTGATTGTACGGAATGTCGTTGAATAAGAGGAAGTACAGGAATCAATCAACATGCTTCGTAGCAGTGGCCAGATACTCACACAGAATCTGCACTATATTTGCGAGGATTGCGAAGCACCTCGGTGACAAACACGACAAAACATGGAACGTGACGCGAGTTGAAGAGATGTGCCTCCCATATAGCGCGATGGATCACCTGATGTCGTTTGGCGTTGTCCTCGCCGTGGCCGCTGGCCGGTGGGCGCCGCTTGACCCTTAGGACGCGATTGCTCTCCCCATGCCTCACGCGGATGCATAAGCCATGCACTAGCAGCGTCGGCGGGCTGTTCGATTGGTCCATCAAAGCATCAGGACCAACACGTCAACAAGAGGGAGGCTTCAGATACCGGGATACGGTTTTGTAGACCACGCACATCTCTCGCAATGGCGAAGCCGTTGATTCTCCGTTACGACTGCAATCATGCACAATGCCAGACTTCCTGTTCGTCATAGAGCGGCCCTCACCTGGTCCCTATCAGTCCCACGTCCCCGTCACGTACCACGTGCTTCGCCAACACCTTGCCCAGAGCAATGCCTTCCCCGCTTTCGTCAGAGGGAAAACGGCCATCGTCGACCCCGAAGAATTTCCTCGCCCACCCCATGGCACCGCCCGCCGCATCTTCGTCGCCGACGATATCGTTGGCGCCGTCGACACGACGTCCACCGCTGCCTTCATCTCGACCCCCAACCCTGCCGCAGTGGTTTTCCCAAACCGGCGTCCCTCGGGGGAATCCTTGTAGACACTCTCGTCCGCTGGTGGTGCCGCGAAGAATCCCCCCCGCTATTAGCAAGTCTTGAAGTCTTTTGTCAACCGCCATGACGGCCGCTTGTACGGGTGTGAGTTCCTCCTCCGCCGCTCGGGCGACCTGCTTCCGTTCCTCGCTACCGTGATGTTTGTCCTTGGCTAGGCTGTCGTCCGCAGCACCAGAGGCGGCAGCGGTCCTGACAGATGTTTCGTCACGTCGACTCGGATTCGAGTGCTCAGGCGGGGAGACGCCCCCGTCGACTCTATCCCCCTTGCCCGAAGCGGGCCCAACCTCCGGTGACGTTACGGAAGAGTAGTGTCCAGTAGCGGCCGCCGCTGGCACCGAAGTTGCGGTCTTCTTCAAAGACCGAGAGGTTGCGCTTACCACAGTAGACGCGAGAGTCGGCGTTGGGCTAGTGGACCCTACGATCGCGCTCGCCGTGCCGCCGATCCGGTATCGTATGCGGCGTATGCTGGTCATTCCTTGGGCCACGAGGATTAGTTGGTATTGATCGGTTTTTGTTGGCGGTCGTGTCGTTTGGCGAGGTTTGGTGGAACAAGGGGACGAGGAGGTGACGTCAGGAGAGATCTGCGTGGACAAGATGAAGCTCAAGTGACAACGCTTGTCGCTGGTGTGGACAAATGCCGAGTGGGATGGCGTCATTGACGCCGTAAGTTTGCGGTACGAACGAAACCCATCTAACCCGAGAGGTGGATACTGTTGTCTGTTGGTCTTTGAAACATGAATCAGCTTCGGTGGCACACTAGAAACTTTCGTCCTTCGTTGCAGGAGATCGAGGAAGAAAAACGATGTATTCGGTGTAAGAAGGAAACACCAAGAGAAATGAAGTAGATGGCCTCCACTTTGGCACTTGTCGCGCAACATCAGAAGGGGGTGAATAGGTAACCCGGAGGTCTCTTCCCCAAGAAAACTATGCCGGGAAAATTGCAGCCCAAAATCCTCAGGGCGCAAGTCTAGAAAATCCCGCTGCGAATGGCGCAACGAGAAGATAACCTTGGCGATCACCCCTCCCTCGAGACGTCCCGGTTGCGGGTTTATCGGTATCGACTCCTCACCTTGTCGCGGTCTTGCCACCCGAGGGACGCGTAACATGGAGTTTTTTACCCGCAGCAAGAGCACGAGGATCTTCGCCTGCCTCTTGTCGCCCCTCCCCTTAACCCGCAGCAGGCGTATGAGGTCGACGAACGACACGGGGAAGCTCGTTGGCCGCATGTACTCCGACCTTGAGAGGGGTTGGTGAGGAGATCGGTTATTGGATGAATGCGGCATTGGTATTTTTGCAAGGAGTTGGTGTGTGATTGGCTGCAGTTGCACCCGAGTCTACAAGCCCGTATCCAACACGACAATTTGTCCAGGAGGTTTTGCTTGGTCGGATCGGAATGGCCCCGGGGTAGCGTTCGGTTGGATCGAGCATCAGGGGGCGTGTAGCAAGCACGGCCCATGCAAACGAAAACTGTGCTTTTCGTGACCACGACGTTCAATCGTTGTGGCGATCAAGTCGAATTGACCCAACTTTGGGACGAACAACCCGGGGATCAAGGTTTCGATTGGAACTGTTGGGTCTCGTGTAACATGGAGGCCTGGCCGGTCGTGACGGCACCCTCCAGCCGAGGCTCCGTGATCCTTTCGGAGCCAACCTTAATCGTGCACTTCCAACGTATTTTTGGACCATTACGTCTTGTAGAAGGGGGCGGCCCTGCTTCACGCCCTTCTTTCTGTGGCTGGTGATTGTTGCTCGATGTCAAGCACTTCTTACTCGGCATCCGGCAACAGCGGAGCGAGGACGACACGAGACTTGAGCTCTCATGGCGGGGCCGGGCAGGTCACAATGGACAGTCCTTGCTCCGGTTGCGGACACGTGGCCCACGGTCTTGGAGGCTTAGGTGAAGCAGGCGACCCATGTGCGGGTGGGAGACTCTTTTTTAATCGAAGTTCTGTCGGGGCGTGCTTCTCGACCGCCTAGCGTGTGGGAGGGACCTACCGTCCGGGACATTTCCTCCCCGTCGCTACGGTCGACGAAAACTGGGGACAGTCGGCCTCTCTCCTCGGGCGATCGCTGCAGGGACTGTTTTTCGTGCAGCACACCTACCTGTCGAGACGTTCGACAATGCGCTTCTCTCACGTTGGACGAGATCACGAAAAGTGGTTGCTGGGGAAAGACGGAATTCAATTAAACTCTAGACCTTGTAAATAGCAGCCCCTCGATCGGTACCATCGCGCTTAAACGGCGTCTGCTTTGTTATTTTTTAGGGATCTTCTCTTGATCAATCGAGTTTGGGCTCGGAAGCGTACGGCTTTATCGGGGCCACCTCTAGTGGACGATCGCGGCGAACCAAAAGAGGCACCGCGGACGACTGAGCAACGTCAACGCTATATAGCGAGCTACCCCTGTAACCAGAGCTCGAGAAGCGTTTCGCCGCGTGAGGCGAGGGGTAATTCTTGAACGTGCGGTATCCGTCAAATTTTGGCAAGTAGTCCAACGAGGCGCGTGGCCAGCGGTCAACAAGTACAAATAAAACGACCAAACGAATAACGAGCTGGGCCACCGGCCGGTACGGGGAGCCTCATCGATGGCATGGCGACAGAATACGCTTGGTGAGAAGTATTTTGTGCATCTGGTAGTATTCCGCGGTCCCCCTCTCACCAATAGTTTGGGTCCAACATGCCACAGCTGTTGAGCAACCGCGCAAGACGAAGATCACTGATGGGTTGCATCCCTTCAGGCGGCCTCGACAGACACACGAAATCCAGCTCGAGCACTCCGGTTGGCTTGTCGCGGAGACCTGCTCACAGGCATGATTTTTCGTGTACAAGCGTCGGTTGACGATGATGACCCGTGCTGCCGGTCGACTTGTGTCGTAAAGGTGTAGTACAGCTGTCGTATCGCACTGCAGCAGAATTGCTAAATCCAGACGTGGCACACGGTGTTAATTGGGGGGAAAGGCCAAGATTTTTATCCATAGTAAAGCACACGAAGGGAGAGATGAGATGACGGGAAGCAAACAACTCCCATGAAAAGAACCGAACACTTCGAAGCGTCAAGTCAAAGCTATCAGTGTACACATCGTACCGTGTTGGAAGAACTTGGCCGCCGGCTCGCGAAGACCATTGTGGGCAACACAGGCAGGGGCGGTGACTGAATTCTCGTCGCCAATGCTGTTCTTGTTGGCGACGGCACTAGCTCCTTCATCGCTCATATCATCTGCGCCACCACCGTCTACTTCCTCGTCTTCGCCGGCACGAGAAGCAGCCGCGGCCGCTCGAGCAGGTCTATATCGCACGTTCCTGTCCAATTGTGCGTGTGGCGGTCCGGTTATTTAAGGCACACGGTTCGAACGCAGGAAAACCCACAGGAGCGATTTCATCGGCTGTCTCTACCACCACCGCCATCACGCGTTTGGCGGGGTGCGACCGCCGAATTATTGCGTTTTTTGCATTACACAAGTTCTGCGTACAGGGTGTTCTTGACGTATTTGGCAAGGCCACCACCGCCGGTCCCTCACATTCTATTTTCGGTTCGACCGAATGCGCGATGGCACGAGGCAATCACCATGCTTTTCAAAAAGGGAAAAGTCACCATGGCCAGGGTGTTATGGTTTGTGAAGTCCGGCACTTGTCGTGTTACGCTAAAGGACCAAGGGATGTTCCAACCACCCGTCCCGACACCGTCCAGTTTCAACGCAAGATTCCTTACCTAAATGGGGGAAGGAGAGAAACGACCCTTTGCCTCACCTGAAGCCACACCATTGCCGCAGCTCATTTAGCACATGTTTCTCGTGATAGTCTCCTCTATCAACACCGTCCTCCTCGCTTTGCTTCTCGTCTTCGACTCCTTGTTGCTCTCGCGGTGTCGCCATACTATCGCCCTCTAAGTGCGCCCCACGATCGCTTCGGATCGACGAACGGTTGTCACGAACATACGCACAGAAGAGTCAAAGTCTCAGTTTGTTCACGCACAGTTCCCCCGGCTGGTTTAGTGCGACAGTACCTCTGATCATGTTCACGTAACTTCAATCACGGAACACGCGCACGCACGGTGGCAACGTACGACTTCGGTTGCCGAGTTTGCAGTAGGACCCCTGCTTCTGCCGCCAAAACGTACAGTACAAAAATTCACTCACGCTGGTTCAAGCAGGCCTTCTAGTGTGGAAGAACATGCTTCGATGGTCAGAGCATGGGCTGTTATTATCGAAGGATGGATTGTTTTGGTTCCTCACCGAGTTTGAAAATTTTCTGCCTCGGCCAACCTAACCGCCGCCAACCGATGCCTAGAAAAACGCAGATCCAGCAAGAACGGTCCACTGACACCGCCCGTAAACGCCGGGTACGTCTGAACAGGAACATGGCAAAAATTCGGCAGCTGAGAATGAACGACTTTGGCGGAACGGGAGTGTAGGCGGAATGAATATCCGAGAGAAGGGGAGCATGATGTGAGTAGGATATGTTTCCGTTTCCGCGCTAGGAAGTACGGAAAACGTGACGCAAGTATTGCATGGGTTCCTGTACATGGTTGGTTTGGGTGGAAAATGAAGCGGTAGGACAAAAGAAGAAACCAATAAACCACCTTAGGGGTAGCCATTTGAAATGCCGACAGTGAACGGTATGGAATTCCTGATGTTTATGGGCTCAACAGATTGACATGAATTTCTTAGATAGTCATGACTACGAATCTTGAGAAGAAGACGCATTGACGGCCGAGTGCGAATGATCTGCAGCAATTGTAGGGACTACAACTTCCACGAGTATCTGATCGAAATGTGATGTATTGCCATGAAAGTAAGCGATTTGATTGGGGCCGGCGAAGGGGGTAGGGCCGGAAGGTAACTCTGGCGTCAAGTCGTCGTGAGCGAGGACGAACATCGTCTGATACAGCCCGATGGCTACTACCACTTGGGCAGATCCCGCACACAAAGGTGGGAAAGACTGAAAAATACAGGATCCTGACCTGTCCTAGTTGTACCATGAGCATCCTCCTTGCCATGGGAGACAGATTCCGCTCAATCAGGTCTGGCAGCCGGGTATTGTCGAATAGCTTTTGGTCGGAAAAACGGGCACGGGAGAGCGTTAGTTGTGCAAAGGCTGGGTGTTCTTTCCGTACTGTGTTGATTGACATTCGCTTTGTTTCCAACCTAAACCGATTGCTCATTTCTCTTGAAAAACAGCGAACGTGTCACGTACAGAATACAGTCAGCGTCGTGTCGGGGGCCGGAAACTGATTGTTGTAGTACAAGAAGTATCTGCGCCAAGAAAGATACCTGAGGCGACACGGCTGCCATAATCTTCAGCATCTCGGCGCTGTTGAGCGCATTCGGACCCCCAGCTAGCTGTTCGATCAGCCATTGGATCTACCATGACAGACAGCAAGGTGTACATCATCAGCGTCCGTTCCGGCTTTCTTTGTTAGGATTGGTCGCATGAGACCAATCAACAAGTTACCGCGTGTGCAACGCCAATGAAAATTTGCGAATACGCTGCACTTGTTTCACCACTACTGGTTGTTGAATACAAAAAACAAGGCTTGCCAAGAAGTGTACAAGTGACTAGTAGTAGAATGTTTTGAGCAGCAAGTGCTGCTAACAGCTTCACATAACTGTTTCTCTTTCCCACAGATGATGAGAAAAAAATGTTAGGATTCACGCGAAGCAGCAGGTCTTGGAAACAGTTCATGATGAACCTTACGCATGGCGGGAGCTGTTGTGTTGCAACGTCTACTGACGAGCCGGGGGGAAACTCGCTCACTTGGTTGGTTGTCATGAACAGATCGGCCACGAACAGCCGGAAAGCCTCCACCCTGGCGTCAAAACAGCCGTTCATCGCCGCGAGAAGCCCTCGCAACCCTAAAACATCATCATCGCGACCAAAAACAACATAAAACTACTGGGTACTAAGTCGCTTGCTATGGTTGGTCACGCTGGGTTGTGCCTCGTTTGCTATCATCTCAAAGACGCAGGAGTCACGGACAACCCCTTCAGAGCCTGTGGTACAATCTTATTGAAGGTTTCAAAAAGGAACGTCGACGAGGGGTCTCTAACTCTATGGTACGGATTAAATCCCGGCGGTACGTTCTGTTTTCGTATCCACTTCCAAAGAAGTATGCATAGATATATTGCCATATCTGTATACCAAAACACAGCATTCGCAGGGCTCTATACTGATAAACTTTTACAGGCGCCGTATGATGACATTCCTATTCTCGGTCTTAGGGCGTTCACGTTCAAGACACCAACGAAGGATAGAAAATACCACACATGCGAAAAAAGCAAAACGTCTCTGCGGCGAACGACTACACTACAAGAAGCAGATATGCTGTACTGTGACAACTACAGGTTCATGCAAACGTTCGGGGGACATACCGGTGGCGTTGCATACGCTCGCCATGCACGGGGGTAAGGGGATGAATTCCACCAATCCCTTTAGTCTCCCCTTCGTTGGGAGCGGCCACGCTTCATGCTCTCCGTCGACACGAACCGATAGCGCTGCCAGCGTCGTCTGTTGGTCGGAGTATGACCTTTTCGCCCCAGAATAGCACAGAGAGGCAGAGATGGACAGACAGACAGAGATAAACTGATACATTCACAACAGGAGAGACAGACCAACGGAGGGGTAGCGAGAGGCGCTGGAGCTGGGCGGGGGAAGAGCGTGTGTCGTCCTCTCTTGGCACACCGGAGAGGTTGCAATGAGAACGCTGAGGAACTCCCCCACCCCCGGTTTCTCCAACGTTGCGTGCTTGAGGACCCAAGGCGCAATACGCTGTGTGTTGTCACGCGTCGGAGGAAACCTAACCGTAAGTTGAGAAGCTCGTTCGTGTACAGTACCTAGCACGTCAATGATTATACGAATGCCGCTTGGTATTCATGTTGTACGTGAAACAATGTAGGGCGAAGAGTACAGCATGTGAATAAGAGAGACGTCAATGCCGAGCACTGCCTCATATCGCGATTTCCCATCCAGGCGCCATCCATGATGGCATAGAAATCGTCCGTGACCGAAACATTTCAGTATGGAGTACGTAGACGCCTAGATGGACAGCGAACGACAGATCATATGTATCACCTAGCGTACCTCCGTAGTGATTTCAAGCACTTCGCTTACCTGGCGCAAAACTCTAACGGAACATCACCCTGGAGACTCCCTTCTCCTTCCGTACCATTGACAAAAATGCCCCGAGGTTGCAGCACCGCTGCGTCGGGCGATGGCCTTACAAGCTGCAGATTCCTGTACATTTCGACGAGAAGAGGACACACGGAAAAGAACGTGGGTGTGAAGCACTCGAGACCTAACCATGTTCGGGTAATACCCTCGCCAACGGCTGGTGAGAGCCATACTTCCGACGCTCATGAACTCTCCGTAAACTTCACATTAATAAGAAGGCCGCTACACTTTCTCTGCTCATGTGCTGTGTCAGGAATTGATCGCTTTCTGTGCAAGGATAGTTTTCGACCGGTAGTCATGAGTACGTTCTGAAACCTAACAGCGCCTTCCTGCCATTGGTAAAAGCACGCGCGATGAATGAGAACTATGTGTCTCCGCCTGCCACAAAACCGGACACTCAAGAGGTATAGTGTAGTGTGTTGGACGGTGCGCTTGGTCTGTTTCTTATGATTCGCGTGTTATTGAGCGAGGGGTGTCCTTTCTTTGAAAATGGGTGCAGCCTTGGTCGCTGTTCAGGGAAGAGAAAATCATCCTATCATATCACCAAGGCTTCGATATATTTCTATGTGCGGGGCTGCCGACAAAGAAAACGAAAGTTTCGTCGCAAAAAACTTCGTGAGAACCATTATGAGTGAACTTCCCACTCAACGAGCGAGGGTCCTAGCCTTGCCTTGCACGCGGAGGACATGGAGTAGGAAAGGATTATCGTCTCACCAACTGTTTGATTTTCCTCCTTTGCTCCCGCCCCCTCCCGCGCTGTCCGTGGTAGAGCTTTCGGAATACCTCACCTCTGCAAGGCGGCACCCAGTGAGGTAGCTCCCCGCGAAAAGTATGTCCTGTGCCGCGGCTCGTTCGCTAGCGTTGCATAGATCGAGGTCGAAAGGCCCACCTGCGGAAGTGTACGCGGCGTTTCCGATGACACAAGGAAGGATGGGGAAAGCGAGGAAAAGGTTCAGGGGCGGCGTGGGGGTTGAGGTAGAGAGAGGAGGGGGGGTGGGGAGAGGGAGANACCCTCGTTGTCAGAGGATGGGGTTGGGGTAGCTGCGACCGGAGCGGTTGACATGAGCCGACCAGATTGCACGAAGGGGCGGAGGGTCATCAAGTCGACGCCAGGGGTTAGCCCCGTCTTGGTGACAATGGCCGTCATCATGGACTTGAGCGCCTGAGGTTGGGAGGGAGGGAGAGAGAGAGAGAGAGAGAGAGAGAGGCAGACAGAGAGATACGGAGGGGAGAGAGGTTCGTGTTGTACCCCGCCTTTGCAACACCATGGACACCCGTCTCATACCCTTTGTTAGATGCAACTCCAACCTGGGGCCACCTGATTGCTACCCTTATCCAGACCTCGTACCGCCGTCTTGTGACTCGTTTCATGCCGACGTTGATGTCTGGAAAGAATCCAATCGAGCTGTCGGATTGTCTCCGTCTGAGGCGGAGCGATCTTTGACGACTGTACCGCCGACAAGTTCGACTTTATATCGTTTGCCTCATTTACCCATCGCCTCAAACATCCGCGAAGTACTCTTCGTGTCACCACGAGATCACCTGCCGCAGACAAAGAGCCTCTGCCCTATGTCCTTACGGCGCCGTTAAGATTCTCTTGCCTGGAAACCTGGGATCGAAGGCGTTCAGGTCCCCTTCGCCGAGATCGCAATCTCTGATGCCAATGATCCTTGGAATCTCGGAGAAGTTGACGGTGCGGAAGAGTGCACGGCCTCCGGCCCATCCCAATGAATTTCCGTTGACCTACGTCACAACGGATGGCGGGATTGAACAGTTAATCCTCACACCTTTGAAGTGATGCTCGCACGTGCCCAGATCTAGCCTGAGGTTTCACGTTCGCTCAGCATTCGGATCGACTTTTCGAGCGCCCGTCACGCATTGATTTTGATGACGGTGAATATCTCATTGGAGCACCAGGTATATCGACATCATCCAAAGTTAAAACGAATTCAAATCATTGGAAGTTGTGTGGAAGAAACCGTACACATCGCAAGCGCTACATCTGGAGGAGCTTTCGTCGCCAAGCACGAGGCAAATTTATCTGTTTCATAAGACACCCCATTCTCCACCACGATTACATACCTGGAGGTTCTTGATGGCGGTATTTCCTCTCAGCCCGTGACCCAACGCTGCCGCCCCCGGGCACGAGATTCCGTTGAAGCTCACGTCTAGATGGGTGAGGGAGCAGTTGACCCCGAGGGCCCCCCCAAGGCTGAACGCTCCCTGGTCACCCAGCCTGTTGCCGGCGAGGCTTAGCCACCGCAGCGCCTGGGTGGGATAATCGGAATACCCAAGCCATCTAGTCACATGGGTTGAATCAGTGATCGCTAAAACAGTGCGCCAGGACGCGGGCCGAGAACAAGTCTTATCCCTCACCCAGACCATTAAGCTGGCGGGAAACCGATGAAAATAATTTGCGACCCCGTTCTTGGCCGAGCGCCCGGTTGGAGCCCGCCTCGAATCACACGAGGCTCGGACCTCGGAGCTACAATAAACAGTGTTGGAACGCATGGAACGGGTAAAGGCACTTTGGGACGGACTGATAGCACAGTCAGTCACTTGCCATGCCAAACCTAGAGAAAGGGGCGGAAGTTTCTTGTGGGTGAACACTCAGTTCGGAAAATGTTAGCAATATCGGATGTACCTAGAAGGAAACAACCACTCGTTTTTGTTCTTGGTGTTCTCACCTGCGATGATATGTAGAGAAGCATGCCCAATACTTGGAAAATCTTGTGTATATTTTCAACACGCAAATCTACTGTCGTCGTGTCATCGAGAAATGTTTACACTCAGCACACGGTGGCGGAGGCCTGTGTTCGCGTGTGTTCATACTGTCGCCTTTAACGAGGCCACCATCTTACATGGTTGTTCTCGAGCGCCAACCCGATGGGGGCCGCGTTGATTTCTCCTATCTGTGACATCACGTGGCAAGGCAGACAGGCTTTGACAACGTCGAGATGGTTTCCTGATCCGTGAAACAACTTCTGGTGACGAAAGGCGGTGGGTGGGAGAGCGAAGATTTGATTTAGGTCGCAGCCTGACCAAATCTCCTGGAATTGTGCACGTCGACGCGGGAAACAACATCAACTACCTATTTTGATGCTGATAAAAACGAAAGATGCCAGCGTTAGGAGAATAATAACGGCATGCCGTGCCAAAAAAAACATAATCAGGGCACCGCCCAACCCCCGAGTTGTCTGGGTTAGTCCACGAACATTGAAACTGGACGTAAACGACGCCTGCCATGTTCGATTACTGAAAGCATGTTTCCCCGAAGGAGAAAGTCATTTTTTTACGTCGCCCACTTGAAGCAGAAACACCTGTTAGACGATGCTTGGTGACTGCTGCCACTCTCTCCTACCTTGTTCCAGGAAAGGTCTAGGTAGGTCAGCGAGTTGTTCGAATCAAGAGCCAGAGCGACTGAGGCGCCGCCTGTCAGTCGATCGGCTACACCAACCTCTCCCCTACTGCCGCCGACTCCGGCTGACGCGGCTGACCCTGCTTTTTCAGAAGGCAGCACAAGAATGTGTTACCAATAAGAACCCTCGAGGTAATCAATGTGAATATCTTAGTTGGTTGAATCGCTTCCGTGAGATTATTTTCTCTCGGAAGCCCCGTACATCTGGATGTAAGCTGGGAGACCTTGCGATGCCGGCAATCGCACCGCCCCCACGGGATGTAGAAAAAGCAGCGGTCAGGGATCGCGAAGAAGAGAGTACGGAGCACGCACCAATTTGTGCGTACTTGAACCGAATATGTTGTCAACTCCAGTCTTCAGACTACTCGGTATGAAGCATGTTTCCAGCAGGTGTATTATGTCGATCGAATGCAAGCAACGTCTTTCATCAAATACCAAATATTCAACTCAACAATGATTGAGACACGACCGTTAACACACGTTGTTACCGCTGAAGAAAAACAATGAGGGTACCGGGGTTCTCTGTTTTTGCATGTTTCGTAGATAACTCTTCTGTCGGCGTTGCTGGCCACCGGCCCAACTAAGGCTGTGCCGTGAACACCACCTGGCAGTTCACCATGGAAGGCAGGTTGCGCATGAGTTTCGTAGACCTTCAACACTCAGCAGAGGCACCCACTCTTAGATCAGCTACACAGATCATCGGCGATCGTTTCGTCTCTTTGGCAGGATTTTCGCGGTGACGACAACGCCACGAACGGCATTTGTGATGGCGCATGGGGAGGGATTCACTGCAGCGGCAGACCGGGGCTGAGATGGAAAACACGGTTGGTTTGGCGTGGGGATAGAGGGTCGTTCCCATGTATTCCCCCGCTCACCTTGTTGTTGATGATGATGGGAAGCGATAAGATCGCTCGTTCCGCCCATATTATTACCGCTGAGGTTCAACGTCTTGAGCGTCGTGTTTGTCGCGACGGCTACCATGATCTCCGCCGAGGCAAGAGCACTCATTCCACAGCTCTTGACAACGAGAGAAAACAGGCCAGAAGACCGGGTCAGGTACTCGCAGAGCAGGCCTGGAGGGTAACAAGGACAGGCGAGGGCGAGAATGTCCGGTTTCCATTCAAACCAAGCCACCGATAATGGATACTTTGGGGGAAAGGGGAGATCGTATGTTTTCGGGGTACAAACATGGAAGACGGAAGCAGGCCCCGTCCTTCGATCTTGGTTGTCACATACACAGCAGTTCCGCTCCTCGCTCACAACGGAAGTTAGTGAGAGTGCGAGCGAAAGTGTAGACTACGCCTTCAAGATGAAGTCGCCGACGGCCGTATTACATAAGGATTGAAGATACTCTCGGCGCGTACACAACGCCAACTCTCTTTGCTCCTTACTCTTGTCAGGCATTTGGCCAACTCAACGGCATTCGGAGAACAGGGTTTTTGGGGATTGGGCTAGAAAAACGAAGGAAACACGTGAAAGCCAAGCCAAGCGCCTGCGATTTCAGGAGATTGGGGATTGACGGAAGGAAGAAGGGACATGCGTTGCAAAGGCGTACGTTGTGCGCCTGCATAGAGTGGTCACGTAACAATATGTAATAGGGTGCCAGAAAGGACGCGGGTTCGCTACTTCTATGCTCTGCATGTGCACGGGCGTCATATTGCTATGCGCGAGCCAACAAGTTCCACGGGTGCATGCATTACGTACGAGGGTGTGTCAGAAACTGGGAACAACGGGGTGTCTCCGAAGACACCTCAAGCATTCGAGTTGGCCTCCATTCCTTACCAGCGGAAACTCGGTCCACGTGATTCAAAGACAAGTCGAGATGTAGCACCCCTTTTTCTTCAGCTATGGCCAAAACCGTCCGCATTGCAGCGCTCCCAATTCTTGGCGATGAAATGGCAGCGAGTAGGAAGGAGCACATCGCAGGAACGGTTTGGGGTTTTAGAACAAGAGTCGCCATAAATACGCACACTGGGCGCGCTCAGTTGCTACGGAATTCCTACCATGTAATAAAGGCAGGAAGCAGCCGACACCATCGCGAACTAAAAAACGAACCTGTTCACATTCGGGACCCGATCCACCGGCTTTTCGGTGCATCGATAGGCGGTACGATAGGCGGCATAAAGCCCGAGGGACCGTTTGAGGGGGCGTAGAATTAAGCTGTACACGTCTCGTTGTGGTTATCGTCCGTTGTGTCTGCTGGAGGCATGATCATCACTTCCTGAACGAGAATGACATAGGCACAGCAACAACTCACTCCGAATGCGTTTCGCTCTGACCGTAGACAAGACGCAAACCTCGCAGCCCTGCTACCAGCGATACAACGTACCTGTTGTCCGCAATGTCGATAGATGTGAGGCCGGGGAAGTGGTCTAGGGAACTCATGAGGGCCATCACGTGACGATCACCGAGCGCCATGTGCGCCAGTCTTAGCGCGCCCCGGCTGGACTCGCGCAGGAGGCGCAACGGCGGCAGGCCCGGCTCCTTTCCTCCACCGCCCAGCCCGGCCGCCGAGGAGGTATCACAACAGCAAGGAGATCGTCCAACAAAAAGGGAAATGAAAGTTTCGGACTTCACACCAAATACCACAACTCGTCGTGCTCGTGGTGGTCGCATGAACAGCAGTAACGCTGTTCGAGAGTCCGCACGTATATATTCACCATGCCAATCCCTTCTGACGGACGGCCTACGCAAAGAAATATGGCAAAACACGAAAAAAGACCAGGCCAGAGGAACGAAGACCCTAACCCTAACCCAAAACGTTATCCAGTATGTCTAATTACTTAAAAAACCTGCGAAGACTATTGCTTCTGACACCACACCTTGTGGAGATTTCGCGCGTAGTCCAGGTTGGCCGCATGTTCTTCCCACTCAAACGAGTGAGCATCTTTCAGTCGCCGGCGCCGCCTCTGTTCGATCGCACGCGGTCATCCAGCATACGGAGGAGAAAAGGGTCACTCGAAACAACCTTTTTTTTCTTATACGAAACCGACAGCCTTCTACGCAGGATTGCAGCCGACATCTTGTGGGACGAATTTCAGGCGCAAGCAAACCCCCCTGGGGGGTGTTTAGGCTTGTCTTCGGTCTCTCTGTTCAGGTCACGTGCTTAACATTGCCGATGTATTTCACTCACTTCGAGGTTCGCGATTCTGTTGCACATCAAGTTTCGGGTATACCGAAGTTCTTCGCACGTTCCCGACTGGTGTTTTCTACGTGAAGGTTTTCGAGGCACACCCTCCAGACGCGAACCCAGGTTCGATGGAACTACCTACGGATGACTGAGGACGATACTCCATCACGAAGATTGGTTCACCGGCAAGCACGCTCACTGGACCGGAAGCCAGTTACGACACTTGTGTCCGATTTTAATAGTCAAATTGTTGCAGTACAGGACATATGCGACTCACCCTCGCCGCTATCCCGTTTCCGTCGCATATGACTTCCGAAGGTATCGATTCATTCTCGTCTATGGCTTCTGCCGCAGGCGATGGCGACACTGTCAGGTTCTCCACCCCAAGCAACAACAAACCGCATTTCCAAGTAGGTGCGGAAAGGATGGCACGGTACGTTTATCATATTATCGTGAAACAGACGATATCACTTCGCCGTCGAGGATGATTCGTGTTCGGGAGCAACAGCACATGACATGTTGTCGTCCCCCAACGTCGCAACGAAATGTTACACATTCACGCGCTCCGGAATCCGAGTATGATCGAGCGGTCGGGCTACATCCCCTCCATGCCACGCTTGAACTTCTTCGTCACGTTTCCCGCACAAAAGAGCCACAGTTTCAGCTCTTTCAGTTCTTTGACGAAACCATTATTCGTCGTGTGGTTGGGGTTTTTTATCTCGGGAGAAATGCTCGAAGAAACAAATAAACCATCAGGAGCATTCGCACAGGGTGCCACACCTGATGACGGCGAGCGAGTGCGATAAGCCTGCTCCATAATAGTGCCTGAGGCGACGACAGCATTGGCGATGCTCGCATCGTCGTCGGAGCTAGCCCTGTCGTCTTCGGCCTCCTTATGTAGCCTGTCGTAAAGCGCCAAGTCCGATCGCTGTTCGGCGTATCCTCCTGAAACGTACAGGAGAGCACTTGAGATTTTTCCAAAATTACAAAGTTACCACATGCACGTGGTTGGTTGTGTAGGACATGCGTTACGTGTGTTCTCCGTACGGAAGTCATTCAACGAAAACACGACTTCCCTTGTGGCTAGGTGAAGGTCAGGGGCGCGCCTGGAAGTAGGTATGAGAGGGAACGTACTGCGTACCCATGTCTCTATCGACGACGGAAGCACTGGTGAGCGTAATAGTGGCGAATGGTGCAGTATGCGATGTTAAAACGTGCGACGACCACAAAACCAAACATACCAGCAATACCTGCTCGCTATCAAGCATTGACGATAATATTCAGCGCTCACCTGAAAGAACTCGGTTTTTCATGTTTGACCACTCCTGGTACATGCCGTAGACTCCGGTCGGGTCGATGGCCCTAAGGGTAGCCACATGCAGGTCGTGGATGGGCTCCGAACGAAAGCAAAGTCTCCGATGGCTCAAGCAGTTCGCATCATCAGCCGTTCTGACATCTTGGCGGGCCGACAAGGTGTACTCTTCCCTTCCAGACGAAAAGAAGTTTCGTCGGTCGGAAGGTAGCGGTAGGGGGTTCGACCTAGGTCTTCTGTGGTCAGACGTGTCGCAGGAATTCAAGTCGCTGGCGAGTCCGGCCCCCGCTTTGACTTCCGTGCCGACTGGGTGGATGCCGCCGCTGCCGCCGCCCGTAACGAAGAATGGGTCGCGGAGCTTCCCGTCCATAAAGAGGGACGACGATGTTAGTTCGTTCTGTCTCGCGCGGAGTTTGAGGTTGGACAGTGCAATCAGTAAACGGGTGTGTGCCAGGATCTAGGATGATACAACAGAAAAGAGGACAGGTTGTTATCCGTGAGGTTTTCGTGCAGGAATGGTCTCCATGCCTGCTCTAGTTTTTTCGGTGGGCGGAATGTCGAGCACCACAAGAGCGTATGGGCGATGGATACACTCGCTAGCGAAGCAGAGACATTTTTGAGAGGAATTCTAGCAATCATAGGTATCCCGTCATCTGGCTAGAGTCCATAAACTTCTCCCGCTGCTGTGGTTGCGGGCATTCCGATGCATCTGGCACGTTGACCGAGGCCATGACGGTAGTAAGTCCGCCCACGACGGACTTACCCCAGGAGAAAGGGGTGGAAGCTTTGTCGAAGCCGACGACGGCGCTCCTCGTCCTCGCGGCCGCTGGCGCGAGCACAAGAGGCGCTTGGAGGAATCCAAACCCAGCCCCGTCAGTAGCGAAGGGGCTGCGATGGCTTCCTTGAACAGGCGTCCGCATATCAAAGGCGGTACGCCGAAGGGCGAAACGCTCTCACAACCGCGCTGCAGATTTGCGCCTGGGGGGAGGGAGGGAAGATAGATCGGCGGGCATCGGCATCATTCAGAACACACAGGCGGGTGGCACAAGTACTTGAAGTGCTCAGTTATTGGTGTGGGGGAAGAGTATGCGGGAGTTGAGCGAGATCTTGAGATTTGTGTCCGAAAGTCGTCAAGTGCAAAACCTCATCTGTGAGATGTATGAAAAGGTTGTGTTTGCTGCCTCCCTGCCTTCCTACGGAGGCTACCACGCCTTCCCACCGTAGTATGAGTTGAATCTGGGAAGTGACTCGAAAAAAAATGTAGAGAGTGCCTTGAAAGTGCTCAAAGAGCCCCGCTTCATAGGCAAATACAAGCGCCATCCGAACGCTTTCTTCGCTGTCCACGGAACCTTTTAAAGTGGGCTGGTACGGTGTCAACCCCCTGATCTGCTTGATACTGGGAAGGTTTAGCCTTGATGATGAACTGCAGCCAGCCGCGTATTTCTCTCGTTCTCATGCTAAAAGAATCTGTCGTTGGGAAGACAGGAACGGAAAAAGGCATCACTACAAACAAGGAAGGCATGACGAGGAAGGGCAGGCCAAGAAGAAACTTCCCACATCCGTCCCCTGCGTCACGATTCTTCCACCAGTATGCATGGGCAGACAGTCCACCATTTTTGTGTCGTACCTCCGCAGACCGGATGGACTTAACTTCGCCTCTGAAATGGTGCTCACCCGAGGGAAACTTGATGGGGGGGGGGGGG